TAGAATAGAATAGAATAGAATAGAATAGAATAGAATAGAATAGAATAGAATAGAATAGAATAGAATAGAAAATTTGGAATAGATTAGAGTAGGGTAGAGTAGAGTAGAGTAGAGTAGAGTAGAATAAGATTTAAAATAGAATAGAATTGAATTGAATAGTCAAATTGAATAGAATAGAATTAGAATGAATAGAGTAGAGAGTAGAGTAGAGTAGAATAAGATTTAAAATAGAATAGAATTGAATAGTCAAATTGAATAGAATAGAATAGAATTAGAATGAATAGAGTAGAGAGTAGAGTAGAGTAGAGTAGAGTAGAGTAGAGTAGAACAGAACAATTCTTTATTGGCCAAGTATGATTGGATACACAAGGAATTTCTTTCCAGTGTTTAAGCTCTCAGTGTACATACAACAATAGTGATAGATCATTAACATAGTCATTGTACAATACATTCACCATAAAACATTAGCTATGTGGTGTATATTGGAGGTGGAGACCCTTTGAGAGCTAGCTGTATGCAATGAACTTTCATTTTAATGTATGCCGATTCGTGTACATTCAGAGTGATGATTAAGTTAGTCTAAGTCTTCTATTATAACCTGGAAATTGGGTTGCAAACAGGCTTAGTATTATTCAGATCTCCAAGGCTAGAGAGAACACACCAAGAAAACAGAGGTTACCCTCAACTGGTCTTTTCCAGACCAGAATGGAAAGAATCTTGATGTGTCTGAGAGTACCAGGTTGGGGGAAATTGTGCATTATTCAACCCATCAACAAATCCCTTCTTCCGGTTACTTACCTGTCATCATGTAGTCGGGGGCTCAGAAATCTGGAGGGGTCATCTTCATGACTGCTGTGTTGGCTGCTGTAGAAACAAGCAAAATATGAGGCACAAAGGGAATGACTCTTAAATGGATAGTAAAGCCATTTGGTTGTACATACAAATGAAAGCTTTATCAGGCTCATTTATAAATGGCACGTCCTTGTTCTCTTATTCCCCCCCCCCCTGTTAAAACCCACCCCTCTCCTAGAAAAATGAAATATTTTCGGATATATTAAAAAGGCAGAATATTTCCCCTAAAAGAGAAGTAGAAACTCAGAGAGGCAGAAATTCAGCCCCGCTACCTTTGCTAATGGGCCATTAAGGCCTGGGCCAGTCTACATAACAAAGATCTACCTCTTTCAGGCAGAGCCATTCAATTGCCTTTCACTGCATCACCCACCAAGTTTCAACCTAACTTAGCTCACAGACAACCTACAAAATTAGCTATGATCTCTGACAGTAACCAATCAGGATACTCTTCCTGTGCCCCAGGAAGTTCAAAGCCAGAATGGGTATAAAACGCAGGGACTCCAGCATCTCTTCCCTTTTTTCTTCACCTAAGAGCTCCAAGGCATGTGGTCCTGTCCGTCATTAAACCATCTTTCCAAACAGCCTCCGTGTTTCCAGTGTCTTTTTTCCCCACTTGGAACTGAACCCGGGAAGGATATTTCTTCCAACGCCCCCGTCTTTCATTTTAACGGACCGTAAGGAAGAGTTTTCCTGAAATCTTACCTGAATTTGTTTGTCTTTCTACAATACTAATTTTAGAACAGGGGTGTCCAACCTTGGCAACTTTAAGACTTGTGGACTTCAACTCCCAGAATTCCCCAGCCAGAATGGGTGGCCAGGGAATTCTGGGAATTGAACTTCACAAGTCTTAAAGTTGTCAAGTCTGAATATCTCTGTTTTACATGAAACATCAGACTTTCTATGCCTTTATTCATCACAGATAGCTTGTTTTCCAAACGTAATATTATTATTTTTTTTGCAATACACTCAATTTTTATTAGGACCCCAAATACATTATGCCCCTTCTCTCTGCCCCATTCTTTAAATACCAAACCTTTCTTTTTAACTATGCCCAGAGCCATTTGGGAGGATAAAACAGGCATCAATAAATAAACACAACACAACACCATTAAAGCAGGGAAATGATGGGAAACAGGTCTTTAAAAAAAAATCAGAAACTATCCTTCAAGCCACACTGCAACATATCCTCAGGCTGAAAATATCACCGGATTAAAATACATTAAGATTGAATGTCTATTGGAAGCTGCAGTCCTATAGGGAGTATCTGGTTTCTCGCATAATCCGGAAAATTAGCTTTCAAACCATCCCAGAATGACAGCACTTGCTGGCATCAAAATCACCTTGTCAAGAAATAAACCCTGTAGATGGATGCTTGCAGTCTGTCCAAAGGTGGTTTAGCCTTTTAGGACACACAACTCAAGAATGCACACCTGCATTTTCTCCACCGCAGGGACAGGAAAGTCAGAGAGGAGGAGAAGATATTCTAGAGGTGGCAACTACAATTCCCAGAAGCTCAATGCAGCCTGGTGTGGAGGAATGCTGGGAGTTGTAGTTCAGCCCCATCTGAACAGCCACAATTTCACTGCTCTCGATCGAAGTCAAGTTGCATCCTACAAGTCTGATTTCCCTGACTTTAAAAAAAGGCATAGATCAGTAATGCCTATAAACAGATATGTGATGTCCTATTTCAACAATATTCTAAACCGTCATTTGTGAATTTCTTACTACAGAACCACAAACATTTCCAAAAATTATACAATCATCATGTCCCAAAGATGCTTTTTCAAGAGGCAACTTGGCTGTCTTGTTTTTTGTTTTTTTTTCCGTTTGAAGACATTTCACTTATCATCCAAGAAGCTTCTCCAGCTCTGACCAGATGGTGGGGAAGGGAAGGATTTATACTCCTTGCAGACAGCTGGTTGTTTGCATCCTTTTAGAGGGTCGTTGAGGCCACTTGGAGGTTTATCTGTGTCCTCAGGGTCACCTGAGTGGTGCAAATGATTCCTGTAGTCTGCAATTTTTTTTTATTCTGGAACTCCATTTCTACTCCCACACCATTCAAAGCAGGGGTGGGATTCAAAAATCCCAGCAACCAGTTTGCTGACTGGTGGGCATGGCCATGGTGGGCATGGCCTACTGGAACTTACCGGAATAGTGGTTCGGGGAATCAGAGGTAACTTTAACATCCAGTTCTTGTGAACCGTTTCGAACCGGTAGAATCCTACCCCTGAATCAAAGAGTCTCCATCCTAAATAGTATAGCTAAACTTCTTTTTTAAAAAAAAAAAATTGCAGATTACAGGAACCTGGAACACTTCCCACCATCCAGTCAGAGCTGAAGAAGCTCCTTGGATGAGAAGCGAAATATCTTCAAAAGAAAAAGTCCAGTTGCCTCCAGAAAAAGCACCTTTGGGACAACCACGACCTGGAGGACTGAGAATCTCTACAGAGTTTTATACAACCATCAGCCCATGAATGCTGTAGATATGCCACTTTTTTCGACGTCTGACTTCCAGAGTCCAAGGGGAATAGGGTGAGATTTATACCATTGAATGCTTTGAAGTCTTGATAGAGAACCTGAAGAATTAATTGCAATGCCATTGTCAGGCCCGAAATTGACATATATGTAGCCATTTTAGTGAGGCTTAGTATATATTCTTTTTCTTACTTTCTCTGTGGCAGTCATGGGGGGAAGGGTTTCAGGCTTGTTACATTCTTAAGGGGGGAAGAGTGGAGATAGAGAGAGTTGTTTAGGCTAGGTGGTTCTCCTTCCCGTGGGAAATGAGCTGTCCATGCCTAGGCACTGGAGGTGGAGATTTATGACATCAAGCAACGTTGAATTACTTCTATTGGAGAATGTGACTTTTGGGGGGGTTGTTTCTAACTTCTAATATGTGGGGTAATTCTGGATTCTGTCCGATCCAGAATTACCGTGGACTTTGTCAATTTGATGCTTTCCTAAATAAAAGAATTTTTTTCTTGGAAGATGGATTTTGTGTTTTTCTTTTTAAAATGGATTTCAAACCCTTGGAAATTTGGAAAGCCATTCCAAAAATCTGAGCCAAAGAGAAATCCAGTGGAGAAACTGCCTCCTCCATCCACCAGATGTCACCATTTCCTTGCTGGCAAATACTGAACGGCTCTAAGAGGACATTTGAGGCCAATGGCTTGTGATTCGAAGCTCCCTGCTGTCATTATTACACAATTAGTGGGGATTCTATTGCTCTGGAATCCACTCTGGTGGGTTATTTTCTATCGGTTGGCCAATGCTATTTATAGAGATCTCTTGGGAGGGGCAAGAAATGGCTGTGATTTGGCATTCTCCTCTTCCAAGCTGGAGATGCTTGCTTCTTCTTTTATCTTTTGTTCTAACAGTTCATTCACACTGGGCCCCCTGCAATAATTTTAAGGAGAAACTTCCTAACGGTGAGGACAATTAAGCGGTGGAACAGCTTGCCTTTAGAAGTTGTCGGGGCTTCATCACTGGAGGTTTTTAAGAAGAGACTGGACAGCCACCTAACTGAAATTGTGTAGGGTCTCCTGCTTGAGCAGGGGGCTAGACTAGAAGACCTCCAAGGTCCCTTCAAGCTCTATTCTATTCTAAATATTCTGAATATAATCAATCAGTGGGATGGGTTGCTGGAGGTTTTCAAGAAGAGATTGGAGAGCCATTTGTCAAAAGGTTCTCCTGCTCTATTCTGATTGATTGATTGATTGAGACTGGACATTTGCCTGAAATGGTGTAGACCCTCCTGCTCGAGCAGGGGGTTGGACTAGATGATCTCCAAGGTCCCTTCCAACTCTTGTTGTTCTATGAAGGGACTTTTCAGCGGGGCATCACTGAAGAAAGTTCGATGCATTTCAGCAATGCATTTGGGCAGCTGGAGAAATTTCAAAAGGGGGGTCTATTCTATCAACAGCTCCACGTTTTGGCAGTAATTAATAGACTTTCTAGCTTCAGCATCCACTATATATTTCCACACACCCCAGAGAGCAGCAATTAAGACAGTGAAATTCTGGTATTTCTCTCCAGCATCTGGTTACCAGCACAGAGAAGTTGGTCTCCACCAGGGTTTGTTGGGTGGATGTTGTTGCTTTTTGTCTTTTGGTTTTTAGCCTTCTGCAAATAAATTGGTTGTAATCTTGTAATCACTTTCACCCACTTCGGCCTTGTTAATCTTCCGAAAGCAAAGATTCCATTGTAGAGCAGGAAGCACCTACTCTTAAGGGTTGGTTTTTGTTGGAATCTATTCAGAAATGTACAAAAAGCAGATTTTTTTTCTTTTTCTTTTAAAAAAAAATGCTTATTCTGATTTCCTGTCCCATTTCACCTTTTGGATAAAAATAGTGGAGGAATGCACTCACTTTCAACAAGAGCTGCTGTAATCTTTTAATGCATCCGTTTTTTTCTCCCCCCCCCCCCCTTTTCAAATGCAAAATTTCTTCCCACTGCTTCAGAGATAAACTGAACAAGGAGAGATTCAACTTGGAAATAAGGAGAGATTTTCTGACAGGGAGACCAATCAACTCATGGAACAGAAGTTGCCTTCAAAAGTTGTGGCAGTTTCATCCCTGGAGGCTTTCAAGAAGAGACTGGACTGCCATATGTCAGAAATGGTCTAGAGTCTCCTGCTTGGGTGGGGGGTAGGGCTAGATGACCTACAAGGTCCCTTTCCAACTCTGTTATTCTGTTATTCTAATCAGCAGAAGGACTTGCCTTCAGAAGTTGTGGGAGCTTCATCCCTGGAGGCTTTCAAGAAGAGACTGGACTGCCATCTATCAGAAATGGTGTAGGGACTTCTGCTTGGAAGTGGAGGGTTGGGCTAGATGATCTACAAGGTCCCTCCCAATTCTGTTCATCTGTTCTGATCTTGAAACAGAACCAGCATTTTCACAGGGAAGAGATCGCAAAGGATTCTTACCTCATCTGTCAAATCCCAGCAGAATCAACGCCGTGCACGAACCTAGAATCTGACCCAGGTCTAGCAGAGACTAAATTCTACCCCATCGAAC